GGTAACTAGCCCACTGGGCTAGTTTACTAGAGATTTTACTAGCCCACAGAATATTTAACTAGCCCAAAGACAAGAAAAAAAATTTTTTCAAAATATTTATTAGCGACAATTAAATTTGAAGTTTGATTTGCACTTTCATAATTTCTGAATTTCTGTAGCATTGCTGTTTGAGCTCCCCTCTCAAAATATTGTTGAATAAATGAATAAAAAAAAATCACCCATGTTGCAATGACTCTGGTTATAACAGGGACAGATGAGCATGAATTACATCTCCCTGGTTATAACTTTGGCTTTCTAATATTTAACAAAGGGCCCAGAAATCACTCAAACCAATGCATCTGTTAAATCTTTAGGTCTCATGTCACTCACCCCCAGTGGCAATACATCTTGCTTAGGCTAGGCTACCTAGGCCTAGACAAGACCTAGGGCCTAGGCTAGCCTAGCCTACCTATAGCATTGAAGTATTTAATTATTAAAAGTTGAACATTTAAATATCGTTATGAAAGAATAATATGAATATAAGGTAGTACATTAAATTTAATGTTCTAACTACCTAAATTAACCAGATTGAACGATCAAACGATCTTCTATTGAGAGAGAGTAACATGCCATGTGATGAATGACTTGGGGATCATCTTAATAATTGAACACTCACGCATGTGGAGAGCTGAAAGCTAGCTAGAGTGTTCTCTTTGGGCTGCGGTACCTCTTGTGCAGGGATTGTCTAAAAAGTTCCGGTTTTTTAAAGAAAATGTTTTTCTTGCTAATTCTCCACTAGACAACCGGGCAACATGAGGAGTAAATAGGCTAGCCCGGGGTGGTTTTTACTAGACATTGTACGCCGGGCTAGTACTAAATCGAGCCCTGCAAGAGTACACATATTACAGAGTCTTGAGATGTTGTTATAACCTCTGAATAGCTTACAATAAACATCAATTAAAGTAAATTAGCTGCCAGACTGTATAAGACTTGTGCGGGGAATACATCCTCTGCGCAAAAATCATGCCTAGAAATCTGTCCGTGCATTTCAGAAATCATGGGGCAATTTCCGAAAAAGATATTCCTGAAAATTAGGTTTTTACCTAAACTTAATAATACATAACCAATGTATTTATGCAGAGTTACAATTCTGCGTACCTATCTTCTGATTTTCCGTGCAAATTTTACCTAGTTTTCGAGGTATCATCTGCGCAATTAAAAAACTTTATATTATAGTATGGGATAGTCAGGGTGCAATATAGACTCGTCCTTCATAACAGAGTTAAAGATGTTGGTTCAATATGCATAATAATCCTTAGACTGAAAAACTGTTTAGAATTCTTTTTGTTTATAATTTTCATTCTTGTCAACACAAAAGAAAGCTAAAACATATCACAGCCCACCAGCGATTTTTTTTGCGGCCCACGAAAATGAATTAAAAACCCTATGTGTACGGCTCACCAAGCAACATTGGCTAAAAAACACTTGTTTTTTATGGCCTGACACTAATCATGTAAAAAGTAAAATTAAAACTGAGAATAGATTGGTGTAAAAGCAGTTCTTGGAGGTTTTTGGAAGCACACTGGAAACAACAAAGTTTGGGTACGGCCCTTGGGGTTAAATCAAAATTCACTTTGGCCCTCTGACCGATTTTTATGTCCACTCAGTAGAGTAATTGAATAATATTAATAATAAAATATTGCCTTTTTCCAAAGTGGATTAGACTTCTTTTTTCAAGCAGCATGTTGTATGAAAAACTCTTACCAGGAACAAACACCTTAGAAATTAAACACTTTTTGGAAATATGTTTTTTATATGATTACTGATTGATTGATTGATTGGTTGATTGATTGATTGATTGACAATTTTACATCCTCAATTGAATCAGAATTAGGAACTGGTTTGGGAATGTGTAACAATCAGGGTTTGCAAGTTTTTAAACAAGCAAATTTTCAGGACAATTCCAGGTCATTCCAGGTCAAATTTTTCGAATTTCAAGGACTCATAATATCTCTTATTACTATAAAAGTAAAACAATTTGCCAATTTCACGATTGATTATACAACATGCATGCTGTACCAATTTTAATTGCAAGATGTTCTTATGCATACTTTTATTTAGTAAATCAATTTAGTTGTTTCCATCACAGTAAAGACTGTTGGTTGATTGCATATTAAGTTTTACTTAAATCTAATTCAGAGGCGATAGATCGGTGTCTTTTTCTCACGCTCGTGGGAAATGTTATTTCATACATATTGGTCATTAAAATGTTGAAACTTGTTTAATTGTACTGCGAAGTCGTTTATTTCATCTCTGTATTCATGGTTATTATTTATAAATATTATTATAAACCTATGTAAACTTTTATAATCTATTATACAGCAAATGTTAACGTACGATGTGTTTGCGGTGATTGCATTTGTTTATACATAGAGCAAATATTTATTTTATTTGAAACAATGTCATAGGTAGGGTAGTTTCTGGAATTACATATTTTTTATTTCTTCTAATTTTGAAGCAACGTTCGCCTCAATTTCTGCCAGCAATTACTTTTTCTCAGCAGCAGTTCGACGCGCAGGCTGTTCGCTTTTGGTGATACGGTCAGACAATAGAGAAAATAGAACATTTCTCTATGGTCTGACTACCTTTACTCTCGGCCTGATCAGCAAACCTTATGGATGACTTTTTCAGACCTTCAATATCAGCGCAATACATCCTTTCTTACTCTTCTTTAAATTATCTAACTCATCTAGCTTAGATTGCCTCTTTCGTGTTTTCAACGCCTCGGCTGCCATAACCCTGTCTGCGCTAAAAAAGTAAAATATGCTGTACAGTACTGTACATAATCAGTCGACAGTGTATACATGCCCAAATTTAGCATGTACTATAGTTCAAAGTAATGAAAATTATTAGTGCACTTACATGTACCCGCCGCGCGTCTCCTTTGTGTAACGTGTAACGTCAAAGAGCGAGAGCTGCGCGTGTATAGTAATACTATAGACATGCCGCCCTACTTTTGAGAAATAGCTACAGTATGTGGGGAAACGGTCTATACTTTAATTGTGTATGAGTATTGAAAAGACAAAAACAAACGAACATTTTTTAGTTTATTTTAATCATGACCTGGAATTTACGTATATATCATGTGAAATACGATAAATGGGTAAATAATCAAATTTCCAGGACATTGAAGAATTATTCAAGGACAATCATAAATTTCCAGGACTTTCCAGTACTATAAAATGCTCATTCGTTTTTCCAGGACATTCCAGGAATTTAAAGACTCGTACGAACCCTGACTCAATAAACATTGCTAAGATTATAATGACCACAGCAAAAAGTGTTGATGCCAAGTATAATTCAATTCAAGCACAACAACAGAATTTTTGACATTCTCAAAATCAATACATTCCAAATGATGATGATGATGATGATGATGATGATGTACTGTATTGATGACATGTTACAGTATCATTAACGGTTTTGATATTATTAATTTCAGAACTTTCTTTTAATTTTCTGACTTCGAAGGAACTAGAGGTCACAGATTCAAATTGTTTAAAAAGAGGGTAGGCTTGATAAGAGTATTCTTTTAGCTGCAGGGTGGTCGATTCTTGGAATAGGCCTAACCTTCCATCTGAGTCTGAGCCCTCCATGGTCTGAGGAGGTTCAAGCAAGGAGATATTCCGATTTTGAAAATTCCATAGTGCGCAGCCTACTACAGTAATTGGATCTTCATGGGTGGTTGGAAACATGCTGAGTTTGAGCTCTCTCCTCTTATTTTTATTTCATTTTAATAACTTTCCTTATCACAATCATACATATTCATACAGAACAGTATAGGTTTTAGTCTAATCTCGAAATCTTGCGTTTTTCATCATTTGCATTTACCCAACAACATAACAATTTGAAGCAAAATATTATTAAATTGTACTGAAGGGTCATATAAGCTTTGATAGCTTTCAAACAGACCCGCCACAATCAAGCAAGTAAGCAGCTCGCCTTCAGCTGATCATCGTACAGCGAAACTCACTGACACAATGATGAGTGACAGAAAGGATGCTGCCTGCCTCTGACTGATCGAAGATGGAGGTGCCTAGCAGTGTAGAGCAGACAGAGTGGATGCCGTACACACACGTCTAATCACACACACACACGAAAACAGCTAGGCCTAAGTAAATGTTAAATGGAATAGAAATCATAAATACCTATTATCTTCAGAAAAACAACTGATGTTTGTTTGCCTTGAAGAGATAACACAGAAAATACATCTACTAGTAGTACTACTATCATCAGCAAATAATCAAACTTCTACTACACAGTGCAGCCTCGCTTTGCCTACGACAGGTCAACATCCTTAACCCTTGAACCTGTTGATATTATTCTAGGAGCACCATCTCCGCTTTCCTTCGATTGGTTCTATTGGTTCATGATTAGCCAATCGAATCCTTCCTTGTGGAAGAACACTGAGCATACCGGCTTGTCAACATGGCTGCTGTTCATCGTGAGGTGCCCTTTATGATATCTAAAGTTTGGTTAATTATGCTCATAATTATTTCATTCACAAACCTATCGTTAAGCGCAAAGAAAAAAGAGGTAGATATATTATTTTTAAATTTAACTAGGCTTAGAGCACCAACTGCTGCAATGCCGGGAAAAAGCTTTTTCCGCATTGCCATTGTACCGACTTGGTTGGAATCGAACCCACGACCTCCAGATACGTACGGTAGCAGGGGTCAAAACGGCAATAACCAAAACGGCAATAAACCAAAACCACAAGGACAAGTACCAAAACGGCAATAGGCATAGGCCTAGACCAAAACGGCGAAGAGCGAAATGAATGCCAAGACTAGCAAAGAAAGCGCCACCAAACCAAATGTTTTACAGTACTGCTTTTATTGTTTCCCCAATTTTTTTTGGTGATCTGCTCTCGAGCGAATCACCTCTTGTTATTTTACTCTCTTCTTTTTTTCTTATTCTTCTTTCTTTCTCTGTATTTTTGTTCGCACGATATCTCAAAAAATGCCACGAGTTACGCACAAACCGTCAACGAACATTTAGCTTGGTCTGGAATAGTCATGGTAAGCTTTTCAACGTGCTCAGTCATGCGTGACGTCATCTACGTGCAATTTTGCGTTTTTACATTCAGTAATTCATATCAGCCTAACCAATTGCCATTTCAAAATCGTATTAAGTGAGCATTAACTCCGGGTTAATGTTGAATGTACTGTACCTTAATTTTACGCGTACATGTGCGTCAAATTTTTAAAAAGCTCAAAATCACTTTTTGACTAAATTAGAGCACGTTTCAGGCCATTTTGAGCATTTGAAAATTCTTTGAAATTTTCCTCTACACGCGCGTATTTTTTCGCACGCAGCACGTACGGAAGCTAAACATTATGTTTTTTCACATAGTTTGGGTTCCTGACATTGTTTTCACAAATTTCCATTCTTTTTGGTCATCTTATGGCCAATAGCAATGTCGTACGTGCGCATCAAATATAGGTATCTTTGCGCGGATTTGTGCCGATATACAGTGAAAATATGCTAAAATCAGGCCTATATTTAATCAGTTATAGCTCCTTAGGATGAAAGGTGATCCCCAATTTTTATTGCATATTCTGAAAGCACATAAGTTGTAAATTTGATTTTATAGATCATAATGGCTGATCGGACATTGTGACGTCATCATATTGGCATCTGAATTCAAAGAAAGTGAATTATAGCTATGACATCATTTTTGAAAATACGCATTTAAATGTATCTCGCTTATCCTTGATCGTTTGTCTTCCAACTTTGAGTATGTTATAGCTGAGACAATTCTCTTTCATATATTTGATTTCTTTGTACATTTTCATGATGTCATCATGGTCAAAAAAACTGTTTTTTCTGACCCCCCACATCTTTCTTTCCTCAAAACGTTGATTAACCCATATAATCTTAACCATTCGACATTTCTGAATCATATTAAGTGAGCATAGCTTCAGGTCAAGGTTGAATTGCGAATTAACGTGCTTGTACACGTACGACAACAATTATGTATACTTAAAATTATGCCTACTTTTAATCAGTTATAGCTCCATAGGATGAAATGTAACCCTAATTTTTATTACATTCTGAAAACACATGAATTATAAATATGATTTTATAGATCATTATGGCTGATCGGACATTGTGACCTCATCATAAATTGCTATCTAATTTCAAAAAAACTGAAATTTTATTTATGACGTCATTATTTTTCAACTTATATGAACGTATCTTGCTTATTCTTGATCGATTGTTTTCCACCTGTGAGTATGTTATAGCTGAGACAATTCTCTTTCAGAAGTGTCCCTTTATTTTTCATTTTGATGACGTCATCATGGTAAAAAAGAATGCTTTTTTGGAGCCTTCTCATCTTTTTTTCTTAAAAGATTAAACAATTTTGAAATAGAGGGCGGCAGACTGTATTTCGACGCTTTCAGACTGATATATAGTTCATATACTCTAAAAGGAAAATTTGTGTGGCATTACCAACCAACAGGGGGTTTTAAATTAAACTTGACAAGGTTTAAATTCATGTGCCATTACCGTCCTCGGGCACGTCGTATAAGGTATTCATACTTGTGCGTTAAAATTTTAAAATTGTTAATATCACTTTTCAGATAATTTAAAGCACATTTCAGGTCATTTTCAGTATTCCAAAACTTTCCATAATTTACTTATAAGTTTTACTTATTTAAATGTCCACTGATGCTTTTATATTGTGTTTCCCCCAATCTCTTTATGGTTTTTTATCGCGACCGAAATGATCTTTATGCGCCGCTGAAGGACGTAAATAAATAAAATTCCCTTTTGCCAATTACCATATAGCCTAGGACTACAGTATGCCATTCTGGAAGTGTTTACGTTTTGGTTTAAGCCTATTGCCATTTTCATCATTACCGTTTTGACTTATTGCCGTTTTGGTCCATTGCCACATTCTGGTCAAAAAGTGTTGCCGTTTTGTGGTTAAGTTTTGCCTTTTTGGTCATTCCCGTTTAGACTTATTGCCGTTTTGTCCAGAAACCCAAGATACTGTACTGTAACTAGCCCAGTGTCTTAACCAGTAGACCACCGAGCTTGTGCTTAACGGCTATGAATCCATGTAGTGGGTACGCCTCGATGATATAAGCCTCTAGGCTGATTCTGATAAAATGAGACTGATCATAGGCCTAAGTAGGCCTAGCCTAAGCCTCTAGCATAGGCTAGGGCCTAGCCTACCTAAAGGTCACTAGGTCAGAATGTTGTCACTGCAGGCTTAGGCCCATACTACTAGGCCTAAAGCACATTCCTGCCAAAAAAAAAAACCCAATAAAATTAAATTACGGTTTGAGACTTCTGTACAAAGCACTATATAAATCGAAGTGTACAGGCCTACATTACATTACCGTATATACTTTTTCAGCAATCCCTTGGAGATCGAGTGAAGCAGCTTACAGAATGGAGTTACAAAAGGCCTGTAATCAATATGAATGGAGAGAAATATAGGCAGTATATCAAGGCCTCTCCCAGGAATTACTCTGTTATTCTCATGTTGACTGCCATGGATTCCCGTAGGAAATGTTCTGTTTGCAAGTGAGTGAATTAATAACATCAGTATGTATCGCATATTTGTCCTCATTCTGTTAAAAAATAAACACCCTTATTTGTGTCATGATGTGCCTATATATGCTCATAGACATGTCACATAACATTTACCTTAATAATCTGGACTGGGGGCCTTTGATTAGTTTTTTGTGATTTATGAGCCATGTGGGTAAATGGAATGACAAAAAAATAGTAGAGCAGGGACGGAGTGTCACGGTGTATGTGTGGGGCACATACTAAACAAATACCACATATTGAAAACTTTCTGAAAAAAAAAAATCTACTAGCTACCCCTCCCACTTTCCCCTACTCCTTAATGGACCACTGTGTTCTGTACTCAGTGGAAGTGGAGAGTAAAATACCAAGAGGTTTTGTGTTGCCTCAAATGTACAATTTTTACATTATATGTCACCATGATGTCATCATTTTAACACTTAATCCCTCTTTGCAGGCAAGTTAATGAAGAATTTCAGATCCTTGCAAATTCCTGGCGATTTTCTGGTTCTTATTCAAATAGAATTTTCTTTGTCAGCGTAGATTATGACAGTGGCCAGGATGTTTTCTCTGCAGTGAGTCATTTTTTATTATTTTAAAATGTCATTCTAATCAGGGTTCCCAAAGCTCCAGCAGTAAGTCGCAGGAATCTCTTGGACGTACTGTAACCCATCTTAAAAAAACAAATTCACAATATTTGCATGCGCAGCAAAATGAAATTAAAAAATTAAATAAATTAAATATGTTAAGAAAACTCATTCAACTAGATCTCACGGAATGGATTTCTTCCAGCTTGGAACCCCTGTTCTAACTCTCAAAAAAAAAATATCAACATGGTGTTGTACTTACTGTGATCGGATGTGAGGCGGAGTGACCTAGATAAACTGTCGTCAAAATGTCCAACTATTGTGCTGTACAGTATTACCAAGGACTTAAAATTTTAACTGTAGGCCTGCAGTTAAAAGTATGACCTTATTACGTTTGGACAGATTTATTCAAGAGAGTTACAGTAGTTCTTCACTGAATTTTACTGATACAATTTACTTTGATATTTTTTCTTGAAGTTAAAAGCCACATCAGCTCCAAGCATCATACATTTCCCTGTCAAAGGAAAACCAAAGAAAGCCGACACATTCGATATGCAACGGTAAGCAGTCTTTAGTACTTTGAATCATATCCTTGTCGGTTTGTATTATATGTATACGGTATCCATGTCCATGAGAGTCGACTACTTAGGCCAAATAAAATCAATTGCTTGTTGCAAGTCCCCATCCCAATCAAGTGTTGGTGCCTCATGTAAAAATAAATATTTGTTGCGGTATTTAAAAAAAAAATAAATGAATAAAAATAATGATGACTTGAAAGTTGGTGTTGTGTGCAATTCACCCCAGAAGGACCCACATGGAATTCTGTCAGTGATGCATTTCCCACTGAAGAAAACCATACAATACCAACTTGAATCTCCAATCTGTTATCTATTTATTCAACATCCTTTCACAAGGAAACACATTAAAGAATACTTGGCACTGATCCTGGTTGCAGTGGTTCTCCTCAGAGAGTTGTGGATGTGTCAGGGATGGCGCCAGGAATTCCCCAGTGAGGGGTCCACACCGAACCCCCTTGTCTGTGTGGACGCAAGGAATTTAAATAGACTTGCTTTTGAAAATGTGTCTTATGTTCGCTGGGATGTGTACCACAGTGTCGCCCAAGATTGATTTTTCCCTAACGTCCTTTGCTGGAAATTCCCTGATGGGATGTCCAGAGGTCTCTGACGAGGTCCTTTTCCACCGGACCCCTTCTAGCGCCAACGCTGGGATGTGTACCATGTGTTTGATCCAGTGACGGGGGTACTATAATAATGTAAAGTGTATAGACGCAGTTTATTGTACATTATATTTATTAATATATATATATATTATATTATTAGTAACAGATGTTACTCTCTTGACTTGGGTAAAAAAGCAACGCTTCATCAGAATCATGATTAGTAATGATACTTTGATATGTATTTCTGAATTATTCTTCAATAGGTATTTCGTAATGATACTTTGGTAGGTATTTCTTAAGTAATTATATACTATGATAGGTTTTTCTTGTTTTTGTAGGCTTGGGTTCCAGGCAGAACAAATAGCAAAATGGGTTGCAGAGCGTACTGATGTAACGGTAGGTGGAATCATGAACTTGATGTTTACTTCTTAATAATATATACAGTATGTGTGTATATGTGTGTGTATGTGCGTGGGTGGGTATGTGTGTATGTATGTACAGCAGAACCTCGATTTTACGTACGGTACGGGACCAGAGGGCGTACGTAAATTAGGGGATTTGTAAAATAGAGGTTGGGTTAAATTTGTGGTAACCTTTGACCTAATACGTACGTAACGCTCAATAAACGTATGTACGAACGAACGATGTTACCTAGGCTAGACATAGCCTCTAGGCCTACGAATAAAACCATGTGTCTAGTGTATTAATTCATCACTTTATATCTTTTATTTAACTAAAATAAAGAACATGAAAATATTGTAAAATTACCTACGACAAAGGTATAACTTGGGAATTCCCCTTCATGCCTATTCTAAACAACAGAGCTGTGGTGTTGTCTGGACCTGTTGAGACAAACTAAAACCATGTGCGCTGTACTGGGCGAGCCAACCAATTAGCGTTCGTGTACATGAAACAGCAAGCATGTGCTATGCACTGGGCGAGCCAACCAATTAGCGTTCGTGTACAAAACTATGTCTACCCAGCTTCGTGTAGAAAATTCAACCAGACGAATTCTTCCATTGTTTGCAACACGAAACTAAGGAGGAAAGCAATTATTTTGAGCACCATCGGTAGTTGTTCATCTCACTCAGTTCACATGGTTTTAGATTATAACAACCAGGTATTAGACTCAATCAACGTTGCTGTTTAATGGAAATATGTTGCATTATGGTTTGTTTATTGTTATACTTTTTACTTATGGTTGCTCTCAAAAGGGCTGTTTGTTTTGAATATTTTCGGGGTTTTTGATGACGTCATCGTCCATACGAGGCGTACGTAAAACCGAGGGTTGGTATAACTGGGGTACGTAAAAACGAGGTTCTACTGTGTGTATTTTCTAGCCTTGTATTCTTTAATATATATAAAATAAGTAAACAGATAGAAATAATATACTTCACAAGGTGACTACTTTGAAGCATAGATTTTATTAAAAAAAACCAAATTGAGTATACTGTGGATGATGGTGTGACATTGATAAAATCATAGTAAGGTAACTTCATTTCACCTAGTTACCTAGGGAATTTGGGCTGCAATTCTGGGCCTGCAGCAGTCATCATAATCCAAAAAAGTATAACTTTGTGGCTGTGTGGTCTGGCAACGCTGCAAAACTGGTATCAGGTAGTTAGGGGACAATGCATTTTTCTCGAGTAGTAGTTATAATAAAAATCCATTATTTGGCCAAATTGACTGACATGTGTTTACTTTACAAATGTCATTATATTTTATTTTATTTATTTTAAGTTCGCCTCAATTGTAATTGTGATGTTTTCTCTTTCTTTGTGTATTTAAAAAAAAATTAATACAAAAGAAATTAAATAAATTGTGTTTAAATTAATTTTGTTCACAGATTAGGATCTTTAGGCCCCCAAACCATGCCGGTATCCTGTTGCTTGGCCTTGCTCTCACAACTATTGCAGGCTTGCTGTACTTCAGAAGAAACAATCTGGAGTTTCTTTACAATAAAAACATGTGGGCAATTCTTGCTTTGGTAAGAACTTCAATCATTTAAGTTAGTGCTAACTGTAAGTGAATACTATAACTTGTACATGATTAAAAACAACTTGGTGGAGTTTTAATTTATTTAGCAAACATTTATTATATTGTGCCAAACAGTCCAGTATCTTATCCTTGTCGGTAAAATTTGAAAGACAAATTCCAATCAATTCTCTCATATATCTCTACACCATTATGTAGGTAAAAGACGTATATTCTAGTAAATTCACCAGCTTTACCTACATAATGAGAGGTGAGAATGTTATTCAGTAAATGCATTTACTTTAATGCATTTGCTTAATGCATTTTTGTCATTAGTAGGAACACCTCCTTGGTTTACTACTGATCAGTGTTCCAAAAAATGGCCGTATTCGACTGGTCGTTCTTCGTTAAACCGTACTTAACGAAGACGACCACTCGAATAAAAAAAACAAATACTTGACATAACAAAATGGCTGCATAGTTATGGCAATACATGTTGCGTAATCAAGGTTGCTTTGGTTTGTGTCAGAATGGGTTTTTCGTACAAAACATGTTTTCATCCAGTTTTTGAATTCTGTTAGCTTACAATTATTTATCAACTTCATGTGGGTAAATATTATTTTTATTTTCTGAAATTTAATCTAAATTATATTAACGCAAATTTTGTTGCTAAACTGACCAATTGGCCATGTTTGTTTTGGTCACATGGATAACTCAACGCTGATTAATGCAGTCTGGTTTACCTTAATTCTCATTTTGTCAATGAAGTATATTTTACGAACCAGCCAAATAAAATAATACTCAACGAAAAATCGTAGTCAACAAAATGAACCAGTCGAATACGCCCATTAATATTAATAATGATGATTGTGTTTTATTGCCTTCAGGTGGTAGTGTTCTCAATGATGTCTGGACAGATGTGGAATCACATACGGGGTCCTCCATTTGCTCACAGAAACCCGCAGTCAGGACAAGTAGTAAGAATCTTTATACAAAGCGCCCTCTATTGAAAAAACACTCCATTTAAATAGAGTACCAGGCAAGTGTCATCACAACACCAGGTGGTGCCCTTTGTTGTAAACCAGACGTTGGTCAAGTAGTCATTACACATGAATGACTTCATAATCCTAATGGTTTAGAATAGGCTTACTGGAAGCTGGCATTTTAAAACCTAATAATTTTCTTTCAAAATGTACTAAAAACACAAAAGCGCACAATATATTAGTTGTCAAACTTATATTTAATCATCAATTAAAATTTACAAAGAAAATTAATAATAAACCTCATAATAAAAGTAAGTTAGAAATTGGGATTAAAATAACCACCCAAAATGGAATATACCATTGTTGAAGTGGGGTGGACAGTGTTGGGTGGGCTTGTTTAAATTTTCTTGCTTTACAGTGCATATTAACCTACATGAATCTTGCCAAAAGAGTTGAATGAATTAAAGGCTTATGATAGGAAATCAATATGTAATTAAACTATCCTATTGTGAAGTTAGATAATTTCTGTTGGTAACTACTGTTTGTGTGCTGAACTTTAGGCATCATTGAACTCTTAGTGATCTTGAAAGTGAAACTGGATTCTTGTTTATTTTACATTGTTCTTTCAGAACTACATCCATGGAAGTAGCCAAGGCCAGTTCCAGGCAGAAACTTACATAATCTTTGTTTTATGTATCCTTAACAAGAGAATTATTAACATTTATATGAAATGTAAATGCAAGAACTAATGTGTATTAAGTTGCTTGATAATTTAACATATACAACAGGAATGAATGTTGATATTATCTTAAATAAAAGGATTATTTGACAGATTAATTTACACATGTGACATGTCTAAATATGGCCATGATGACATAACAACATGACTATATATATATGGGCATACAACATCAAGAATGCGTAGGGAAATTTTGGATTTCTAGAAGGATATTGGTTTATTTTTTCACATTTTACATAAGTGTAAAAAATAAATGTATCTTTGAATATGTACATGACATTTAAAGGCAGCAAATTACGATAGGATGCAACTAATTTTGGGGTATCAAAACGTCGGTGCTTTGACCTTGGTGGTGTTGGGAATTTGAATAGCCAGGAGCTTGTGGGTCATAAACAATTAGGGCCTATAACAAAATAACCATCACTTCTGGGCAACAAAGGAAGTATTTTTCGGCTACAATTGCCTCTACATGAGTATTATATCCATGGCACTGAACATTATGATTGCATTTACACCCAAGTCCTGGGTTAAAATCCTGTCAAAACATGTGCCATATATATGTATGTCATGACTGTATATGGGCATACAACAGTTTTTTTGTCAAAGAAAATTTGATAGTCTGAACAGAGCTTTACACACTGTCCAGACTATCAAATTTTATTCGACAACATATGACATGTCTAAATAT